ATCATTGCTTAATGTGTCAAAAGTCTGATTTTTAAATGTGCTTATTTGTGTCGGTGTTTGCCCTGAGGTCTTTATTTAATTCACACATGGACGGAGACAGACGTTATCATTTAAAGAGGAAAACTGTATCAGTTTACGGAGATATGTAATGAAAAATATACGAACACTCTTTCCTTTCAGAAACATGGAAAACCACGGGCAAGCTATGTTTACACCCGTTTCATTCTGAATTAGAAACCGTGAACCAAGTCAGTAAAACCTGTGCACAAAGGTAATTTAAAGATTATAAACCGAAGTGTACATGACTGTTAGCTAGCACATAGGTGAAGGAGTTTCCAAAAACCTAGCATTTCACTTTTACTCTAGTATAGTTTCTCCTCTATATCCACATGATTTATTGATCCAGACCCCGAATTTTTCTCATTGTGTAGATTCCTTCCAAAAATACCGACCGCCTCCGTCACTATAGTTCGCCTCAGTAATGGAAAACGCTGGAGAATCGTTAGTCACTGCACTGAAACCAGATTTAAAACCCTGGCTGAAACGCAAAACCCTTAGATCTGCTTTTGAAGAACAGGGTGGAAAAGTGGACGATTCGTAATCATTTGTGAGATAGCCCAGAATGTGTGCATATATTAGTGTGTGATTAATATTCACCCCTCATGCAGATATTATGCCCCTGGACAAAATTAGGCGCATTGTTGCCTGTTTCTTGCTCAGTCCAGAGGGCTGAACCTGCATAGACTGATGAGATGAGGAACAAGCTCCTCTATTCCATCTGTCCATCCATTTTCTTTCTGCTTTTTCCAATTCAGGGTCAATGGGGAGGCCTGAGTACCGCACCAAGCAACAGGCACAAGGCAGGGCACACCCTGGACAGGACACCAGTCCATTACAGGACACACACAGACCAGGGCCAGTTTTCCTAGAAGCCAATTAACATACGAGCTTTGCACTACGAGAGGAGATCAGAGAACCAGAGGGAAACCCACACGAACACGGTGAGAACATGCAGACTCCACACAGACAGCACCCCAGGAATCGAACCCAGGACCGCAGCAGTGCTGACCCCTGCGTCACCATGCCGCCTGCTCCTACATTGGTTTAGAAAGAGGCACTGTGCACTGTGCACGGCCCACCCTTGTTTGTTCTGAGCAGAGGGAAAGGCCCTAAAACAATCCCCTGTTCGGACACACAGGCCCCGTGATGATGCCCCTCCTTATAAAGCCCAATGAAGTAGAGAAAAATAATTTCTGATGGTTTTACAGCATCTTTAACCTACGTACGGTGCAGATATCTGCAAGAGCTCATTAATATTCATTCCCATGATCCATACCACTGTCTGCACAGAGGAATTCCAAGCCCGGCTTTGGATACAGGACAGGACACATGCAACATTACCCACGGAAGGTTTTGTCACTCTTGTGCCCTGTGATGGACTGGGGGTACCGTCAAGGGTGTACCCTGTCTTGCGCCTGGTGCAGGCTGGGATAGGCCCCCGGCTTCCCCGCGATGCCGCATTGGCAAAAGCGGTTCGAGGACGGACGGACGGACGGACGGACAGACAGTTCTGCCGCTCCGATCCGAATCCCGCCTGTCTCGACGCAGCCCCGAGGCTGCAGGGGGCACCCACGGCTCAGAGAGCAATTTGCTCTTTGCGCCCTTCCAGATGTTGGCTTAATTTGTGGAGACTGCAGGCATGTGCAGTGTGGAGCAGTGGTCCGGCCAGACCCCAGCGCCTGGAGGTGGGAGCCCGCACAGGGGAGTTCACACTCACTGCCTCAGCAGGACGACTGGCAGGGCCTGCTGTATGTGCTTGCCTCTTAGATGTTAAAACATATACAAATAGGGCAGCACGGTGGCTCAGTGTCTTACAGCAATGGGGTCCTGGGCTCCCTTTCTGGGTCCAGTCCGTGTGGAGTTTGCATGTTCTCTCTGTGTTCAAATGGATTCCCTCCGGGTGCTCTGGTTTCCTCCCACAGTCCAAAGACACGCTGGCAGGTTAACTGACTTGAGTGTGAGTGTCTGCGAGTCTGCCCGGCGATAAGACTGGCGTCCCATCCAGGGTGTATCCTGCCTTGTGCCCGTTGCTTGGGAGATAGGCTCCCCAGTGACCCTGAACTGGATGAAGCAGTTAGAAAATGGATGGATTTACAGCAGGGTATATATGGTCATCCCAGTTGACTGTGGAAAAGGGAGATGACTCCTCCTGCTCAGCAGTTTGAGCCACTGCGTTTATACCACCTGCCCTGCTCTTGGAATTAAAACCAACCAAAATGATCTGCATGTTGCAGACGAGACTTTGATCTCAATTTGGGCACATGCACATTTCTGTGTTGTTTGTGTCTGGGTGGGCTCTCTGGCAACATCTGAACTGGATCTACAGCTTCAGGAAGGGAGTCTAGTTTCCTTCAGTTCATTCTACAGTCACGAGAAATATGCAGAAATACATTTATTCCTGCCTCCCACATGTGCACCTATTAACTGTCCTTAGCACTGCCAAGTCTAAGTCTATAGTGTAAAAAAAATACTAACAGCACAACTACTACAGTCTCTGGCGCGAGTAACACCAGCAGGTTCCAGAAAGCGCTAACCTGGCACCCTGCATCAGGAAGTCTCCTTGAGGCCTCAGGAATGTGCGTCTCCCGTCTCCAGTGGAGGCGAGAGGTGACATTCCTTGGGAGCTGTGCTTGGCCAGGCGCCCTCCTCTCCGCGTCAATCCCAGCCCCACGCTCCGGCGGGGAATGAGCCGCTCCCGGGCGGTGAAGGCAGCTCGGAGACTGCTCCTGTCCAGATGTTGCGTCTTCAGACAGCTGTCTGAGGCCTCCCCATGCCACCGAGCGACGCTGGTGAGTGTCTTCTCTATGATGGGGGAGGAGTTTTAAATAGAGAGGGAAGCACACCGTTACCCCCCCTCCACACACAAACGCACACACACACAACTTTGCTCTTTCAAGCAGAGGACAGAGGGTAGAGACCTGAAACGCAAAAGACCAAAGTAATCGATCGGAATGAGAATGAGGGAAACTGCACCCTTAAAGGTTAAAGGTCACCAGAAGGAACGTACGTACAGGACGAACGGATGAAAGGGTGTATTTTGTAGGAGCGTTCGAAACGGTGGCGTTAATGATACCGCCAGCGGAGAGGCACACAGGTCTCTTGCAGTGGGCACAGAGAACAAGCTTTCAAAGCGGAGAGGGCCATGAGCCTCCTCCAGGCTTTCAGAACTGTCCAACGGTCGCTCTATTCATGCTGCTGGAAGCGTATCGGAGAGGAGCGCAGACGCCAGGCGAGCTGGTGGCCGGAGCGGCCCGAGGCAGTAGAAACAAACGACGCTCTCGCAGCCGGAGTTCGTAGGGTTACAATGGGCGCCGATCTGGGGAGAAACTCTGGAGTATAGTTTGCTCTGGAGAGAGAGATCCTGAAAACCCCGGCCAGCGTCTTGTCCAGGCCTGCAGCCACGGCACACCAACAAGTCACAGCTGTGCCAGTATGAGGCTTGAACTCTCCTGCCCATTGAATGGCAGACACCACTGGTGAACAGTTACTGTTCGGTTATCATCAAAACCCACCAAGACAATGGGCTTCTTCAGCATCAGCAGTGAAATGAGGATCTAAGGACACAAGTGAAAGTGACTGGGTAGTGCTTTTAAAAGTGAGCATGATGGCGCTTCGCACAAAGGGTGGCAGGAGTATGGAACAGCTACATTGAAGCCAATAACCCGACTTCCATAAAAAAAAAAATGACTCCCACATCCTCCAATCATGACAAAAGGCTTATCTTTTTACAGAGGGGGAACGTGCTACACTTGCTCTTCTGGTAGACAGTAGCGGTCATTGATTAGAGGATCTTCAATGGCTGTTTCTTGAAGGAACTCAAGGTATCTGCTTCAACATGAGAGAGCAGCGTGTTCAATACCCCCACCACTCTTTGTGTAGAGTGCCTCCTGGTCTCCATTTCCGATGCATTTCCCAGAAGTTTGTACACTCAGGTGCCCATTGGCGTTAATGCTGAATGATCGTCAAGGATAGTGAGGAATTAAGTCGGAGCCCTGCTCAGGCTACTGAAGTCAGGAAACGTTAGACTTGGAACAGAAGACAATCAGGACAGGCCATTCCCTTACACCCAGGAAGCACCCAACTAATCTTTAGCATGCAAAGGAACACGTTGAAGATTTATTCCATGCTAAAAAAAAACGGATTTGGCTGTGGAGCCTTCTTCAGGTACGGCACCGAAACGTTGTCTCCCTTTTGGCATAGAAGAAACCTTTACCTGTTCCTTTATAGCCTGCACATGCTGGTGCAGCTATGTACTTGAACTACTCTTGAGCATGTCTGAAGAATCAGAAACCCAGCTTGCAAAGGCTGAGAAAAATGGAACAAGACACCCAGGCCTCTTTTTCAAGCCTACATCCCATCCTTCCTCCATCAACACCTGGATCAGGTCCTCCGATTTATTAGCTCTTGACTTCTCGCACTGATGAAGTTCAAGTACACCGCTGCATCAGCATGTGGAGACACACACCCACCTGCATGTGCCCCACGCCACCTTCAGTACATAATAGATCTTAGAAATGACCCAAGAAGCTACTTCAATTGGATATTTTGTTTCTAGTCGCAAGTCTGGGATTTTATTTCCCCTGCAAAACGCGTTTAAGAGCTGGGCACAAAATTCATATTAATATTGGTATGAGGTCAAAGGAGGGCTCGAGTGTGTAACGGAGGGCTCAGCTGGAACAAAACCCAGCAGGTGAGTGGGTCACCAGTGGGAACCGCTGGTCTACAGCGGAAACACCCAGGACCAAGCAAAGGCTGAGGCACAACCCCCCCTCCCCCCCCCGCACCGATTTAAAAAAATGGTAGTATCAGCCGATTTTGAACAAGGCAGGCTTTATTAAAATAAAGTGACAGGAAAAATGGCTTTTTTAAATGTCCATTTAAAAAATAGATTCCAAAAATAAAAACAATTACAAATGTACATGTAAAACAAACCAAAATAGCAACATTTAACCAGATAGTTTATTAATAAATTAGATTAAGCTATTTTACATCAAATCACACAATTTATTGTTCACGTTTCTTCCCAACATTCTTCCAGAAGTTCTACAAAGATTAGAAAACAGGATATGTACAGCCATTGGCTTGACATTAGCAGATGCTAGGAGCTGAATGCTACAATGAAAGGTTGACACTCCCCCCCCCCCCCCCTCCCTTTTTTGCAATTTGTCCCTCCTGTAAAAAAGGGGGGAAAAGTTTTCATTCCAAACCCCAAAAACCTCTCGCTAGCCAGCACCTCTCAGGAAGAATCCAGTGTATGCCCAAAGAACCCAAGTCTGTGCAAATCACTTCCTGAAGTCAAAGGTCACAGGGGCCACCCACACAGCTCCAGAATGAAATGACTCCAGTGGGAAAACGCTGAAGAACTGGGAGGAAACACCCTCCCACCTCTAGTAACTTGTGGGGGAGAGAAGGGGGGGGGACAATTGACCCTAAAACTTGAAATGGAAAAATAACTTAGACAGGACCAGCCTGTTGAATCTCTAAACCCAACTGTGCCCCTTTCCCATGTAAAATAAAGTCACCCCCCCCCACCACCCCCATCCAACTGCGGTTCACGCATGTCAACAGAAGTGGCCAGAGATGCACCCCACCACTTAAAAAAACAAGCCCTGCTTCCAGGATGAATCTTGGATATGAACCTCAACTCCATTGCTGGAAAACCCAATTGGCAATTCCGGCCTGGGACACAGCACCACTCTGGCCATACGCCCCAGGAAAAAAAAAAAAACTCAAAACACATGGTGTTGTACAACAACTTTAAATCAGATTTCAAGGCAATGCACTGCATGACCCCACAACCCTCGATTTAAGGTAAAAGTCTTCAGGACAAGAGATGGAGTAAACTTCAGTCTGCATGACGAAACCAGCTCGAATTCGGAGTCCAGGCTACACGGAGTGGCGCAGAAAAACGACACCCACCCCCGTGCTATCCCATCATGCCTCCGCAACGCTGGACCCGACGTCGTTCCATGCTGGGAGTGACGGGAAACCATTTGCAAAACTACTTCGAAATAAAAGATGGGGCGAGGCCCCCCCCAAGGGCTTTGATCACGTTGTTGCAAAAGGAGAAACATTTAACACCTACCCCCTCCCCACCCCCAAGCAGCACCTGGCTTGCTCTCCATCTGAGCTCCCCAGCCGCAGTCTCTTCGGAAGCATGCTACCCACAGCCACATCGCAGGAGCTAGTCGCTCTACCCCCTGACTGGGGAGGGGGGTGGGACGCAGGAGGGAGAAAACCAAGCCATGCTGTGGCCGTGCTTCAGAACCACTGCTGGAATAAAAGGGAGATCGCTGCTCGAGCTATATGGAAGCAAGCCCCTCCACTGGGAAGAGATCTGTCTGGCATCTGAACAGCCCCGGGAGCCTGGAACTCGGAAAACCACCTTCCTTTGGAAACTTGAACAAAACAGGCATCCCACACGCCCCCGCTCCTCATGAACTCCCCAGCCCCTGGATAAATAACAGTACATCACATCAATAATAAATATTGCAGGACTCGCCCGAGTCCGGACTCCCGGCCAGATCAAGTCCGGACTTGGGAGAACCGGACGGACGAGATGAAATGGTTTCGAGACGAGATAATGAGCCAAGACGTTTTCCAGTCAGTCCCTTTCTCCACAAATCGCAAGGACACCGAAGACCTGAAACACGAGCTTCCTCTTGCTCCACCGTCCCGGGAATAAGACTGGCTGAACAGGGACACCGATCCTTACATCTACACACCTGCAGAACGCCCTTCTCCCCACGCCGCACAGCGTTCAAGGGCTTCTGTGCCTCCGTCTCCACACGTGGGTTCAGATTCCAGACCCGGGAGGCGGCCACAAGCCTCTGTACAACCTAGGGCCTAGACAGGTGTCCGGCACATCCAAAGCGCAGCCTGGCTCCCAACCCCCACCTCCACACACACACCGTCCCATCTGTAAATCGTTACGTCCATCTGCGATACGGGAAATGTCCACAAGGGGTGCGCCACTGGTATAAACCAGCCATGTTTCTATACATTTTACACACCCTCCCGAAGAAAAAGCCCTCTCTTGTGCAATGCAGGATTTTACAAGCAACACGCATGCACACCAGCCAATTCCACAGGTGTCCCACCCCCACCCCTCCCCAACACTTACAGAAACACACACGCCCACACACTGCAAAACAGACGTCTGTGCGCCACCGCACTGGTGGAAGAAGAATATAACCCCGTGTATGAAGGTGTGCTCCCCTTGGCGGTCCTTCATCTCATGCACGGCCACCGCCATTCCCTGGCAGCCTCACTTTCACTCAAAGCGGCACAATTTTTTGGTGAGAACATATTGCAATAAGCTGCACCTTGAGCGCAAACTCAAGCTACAGGAAAACAAAAGTCAGGGAACCTGCTCATCGGCTGATATGCATGGCACAAAGATCCTGTATCAGGAGCTGGGAGGGACACTTCCATTTTTGGGGTGTTTAGGGAAAGAGGGGGTCTCTACCTATGGCAGAGAAGGAGCATCCAACCCGCCCCTCCTCCACATACAGACTCTTAACCGCCCCCTGCCCCTCCTCCCCTCCCGACCCCCGGTGTGCCACCGGGCACTGCGGCGCCCCCTGCCCGGCTCACATGAGCGAGCAGCTCTTGGCTTTCTCCTTCTTGAAGGTGGAGGTGAGCAGCTCGGACTTGCTGGGCAGGTGCAGCAGGCGCTTGGAGAGGCGGCGGGCGGGGCTGGGCTCGGCGGGCGGCTGCAGGCGGTTCATGCAGGCCAGGGCGGCGGTGCGGAAGACGCTGTGGATGCTCTTCTCCGAGGTGAAGGCCGAGCACTCCAGGTAGGCCTCGGCACCCAGCTGCTTGGCCATGGCTGAGCCCTGAACAGAGAGGGGAGGGTTATTGAAAATCACCCGCATTTCATAGCTCCTTTCATCCTGAAGGGCTTCTCTTTTCTACCCCAGTGAAGAGCAGCACAGGGAAGGAGAGAGAAACCAGGGGGATTAAGGACGAACTTCAGCCCAGAGGATTCAGCTGGGATACTGGGTGCAGCACCCCTGCTCAGTGCAAAACATTTAATCCTCTGTGCCCCTCAGTGATGCAAGCGCCCATGGTGTTCCCAAATTTGACACCCTTTCTTCGGGCTTGGCGGACCCGGGACTTGGTTTTTTTTCGGTTTCGGGCTTCACGGCCGGCGGGGCCCGGGTTCCCCGGTTGGCCTGGGGGGGGCCTTGCGGGGGGGGCGGAACCCAGCCCCCGACCGGAGAGGAGACCCGCGGGGCTTTACTAGAGCAGCCGTCCAGCTCACCTGCTCGTGGGAGATGGGCACCTGCTTCTGATTGGACAGCTCCATCAGCGTGCAGACGTCCGTGCGCAGGTCCGTCTTGCAGCCAATCAGCAGGATGCGAGTGCTGGGGCAGAAGTCCAGGATCTCGGTCTTCCACTGCAGAACAGGGGGGGGTCAGCAGAAACCCCGTCAGCTTCATTCAGAGACACCATTTCACAGAACACCCTTGCCCCGGGGGGGGGTTACAAAGAGCTCGGCACTCGCTTATTCCCCCGAAAGAAAGGGTGCTGCCAGTGCCCCCCCACTTTAATGTGTGTCCAACGGCTTCAGCAGGTTAATGAAATGAATGCCAAATTCCTGCAAAAACCTGCCATGATCTTACCAGATGCTTAGTGTGCAAAACCTGTGCAAACCCTGTGCCAAAGCAATTTTGAATTATGCACACTTTTAGAACCAGCCCCCTTAAGGCACGAGCGTTGTGCTGAGCTCGCCTGGCTGGTGTGGAGGAGGAGGAGGAGGAGGAGGGACGGTCACCTACCTTTTTCAGAGCGCTGTCGATGGTATCCGGGCGGCTGACGTCAAAGCACAGGAGGACAGCGTCCGAGTCGCTGTAGCAGAGTGGCCGCACGTTGTCGTAATACGGCGAGCCTGGAAAACACAGGGATGGCTTCAGATCCCGGGCAAACTGCAGGGACAGAGCTGGACGCCTGACCGCTGTGTCCACCCGCCTTCATCACCCAGTGGCTACTTAAGTACAGGACAAGGAAGCAACCAGGGGTCACCAAGGACAGGAACTAAGCAATTATGAGTCAATTAACTGAATGGCTCCATTGAGGGATTAAAGGTCAATGAAATCATTCAGAATTAGATCCAAAGTAATGATTTTTTAAGTTCAGTGCTCTTAAGCTGAAAGCCAATTCGGGAATGGACCCAGTCCAGCAGTGCATGCAGGGAACTTGGAACTATCGCTCATCTCGTCAGCCACGCATACAGTCAGGCTACACAAAAGCCTGCATCCTCCTCAGGCTCATGCCCATTATGCCCCCCTAATGAGGCGTAATTAAGTATTGCGGATTAGGCTTAATAGAGTAGGTGCCGTGCAGTTTTTGTGGATTTCCTTTCGTCTGCTGGGTCTGTCTTAGTAATCGCGGGTTAAAAACAGCTGCTTGTCCACAGTCCACAGTCCACAAACACCCCCCACCCCCTACAGAAGTCAGGACTGCTTTTCCATGATCCACATGGCCAGAGGTGGACACAGCCAAGCCATGCAATACAGGAATTCCCCTGTCTGGTGTCAGGATTCAGGAAAGAGGACTGCGGGAAAGATGCTCCATTTAGACTTCATTTGGAGGGATGGAGGTCTTACAACCTCAATTGAACTCCTCCCCCAAGATAATACCTCAGATCCAGATTACTTCCATTGAAGAAGTGACATCCTTGATCAAAATTCTGAAAGAAACCCTAAATGGGTCGGGATAGTGCAAAGAATAGTCAATTCACATGACCCAGTAGGACTCCCTAGTTTTATGAAACAGGGGGACACAGTGACCAGTGTGCAGAGCTACATGGTCATGGCAGGCAACGATGATATGGGTCTTCTGCAATTCCTTGTTCTATAGACTTGACATTTTATGGATGCACGTCTAATCCTGGAGCATTTCTCGCAGAGCAGGAGAAAACGCATTTCTGCGGTCACTGGACATCCAGGTCTGTGTCCAGTTTCTATGGCCACCGAGCCTGTATTGGCCTCGCACATGAGGGATTTGCTAGTGGGTGAGGGGCGGGGGCGTCTGTGCTGAGAAGGCAGTGATGCGGAGCAGAGCAGGCAAGCCGTGTGCACAGAGAGGGATCTCCCATCAATAACCCCCTGCCACCCACAGACTGGAAGAGCCCAGCGGAGAGGCTCGATTGTTATCAACGGCGCGGGGGTGGGCCTGAGGCTGAGGGACTTCACACGCAGCATTCCTGACCTCTCGTAGCTAGGACTGTTCTCTCCCCTGCTACACCGCTTTCCTGAAGACCCGACAACTGCAGCGCGATCGTTAAACGGGGGATATCCAAGACCTTGTCATCTTCGAGACAATGTAGGAAAGCAAGCGCAAGTGTTTGGATAATCAAACGCACAACTCCTTCACCCCCATCGTATCCAAGGTGGTTAGAACTGTGGAGTGCACTTGTAAAGCCACTCATTGAGCAAAGCGTAACATTTCCATGGAAATACTGCGGTCCTGGAACCGCTCCAAGGAGCAATCATTACACTCCAGGGCTTAAGAGAATGCTCTTTCAGCCTGTCGGAGCACGACGCTTTGAAGTCTCCCATATCCAAAATCCTTCATGTCAGCCCAGCAGATTTCCTGCAGAACTGGGCAACAAATCCCAGGACCCGAGTGGAACCTGTCCAGACGGGCATTTAAAACCAAGAACAGATGAGGTAGGAGTGTGGAATAAGATACCCAGCCACATTTTCTGAAACCAACACCCTTTCCAGAACTGGCTGGGAAAAGATCCTCATCAATTCTCTACCAAATAGTTTTGAACGGGCTTCAACAAATGACGTCTACTAATGATCGGCTAAAAGGCCGACTACAGACCCCAGTCTTCCTGTTCAAGACTGCTGGATCAGTGCTATTGAGCACTAAGAAGGTGACTAAACAGGGATCAGTGTAGCACTTTCCAGCAAGCTGGTCCATCTGGGATATGAGGGCAGCTTATTAAAAAGCTCCGCTTCAGATGGGACATTTTTCTCAAGTGTTTCAACCACAAACACACACACCTGGCTCCAACAGAGACCTGAAAAAAAATCCTAAAATAAGTTTCAAAAGCCGTTCCCCAAAGAGCAGGCCCACTTTTCAATGCCTTCGAAAATGGTTTTGTGCCTCGATCTAAAATTAAACCACCTCGAAAATGTTCAGACTGAAGGGCTGGTGCTGCAACTGAGTCACCAAGCACAGCCAGCAGCCTGTTGCATGATCTGTACCAGGCGAGCTTCCTTTAAGACAGGAACAGCGCACCAGTGCCGGCTCAAAGCACCTTGATTTGCACCAGAAGGCTCGGAGCGCCTGGCAGTCTTCAGCCCATACTCCCTGCCCAGAACACATTTAGACATAAAACAGGGAAAATATGCCAGAGGCCAAGGAGGTCAACGATCCTGGCCTTTCCTACCAGAGATTTATCCCCAAGAGAGAGAAGGGGAAATCCAGTGAGCCTGTCCCACGGGATAGGGGGAGGGAGAATCCCTTTCCACTTTGACATTCCACAGCCAGAATCAGGAAAGGGACAGGGAGATGCGCGACGCTCCCCCAGATAAAGCAATAAGAAAAAACCAGCTTCAGGGTGCAGAAGCAACCCAGTCCCCTGCATTTTCACAAGCCAGAAGTCCAACATGCTGGGAAAGTCAACACGTTGCTTAAAGCTGAACGGTAGATGAGCTTGTGGTAGTCTAACGAGTGACCAGGACATGTGCTTTTCATCTACATCGACAGCAGGCGCCGATCCGACACTTGTATATTGAACTCTCTGGGGTCATGCGGTTTTATTTTGCCATTTGAAGTGGAGCCTTGCACAGGGTGAAAACACCCAGGAGAACAGATGCTTTGAGGCAGGTCTATTCAAGCACTGAGGTTCCAGACCCCCAGTTATCTTACACCCCCACCCCGAGACCGCAGCGAAAGGGCTCATTCATCAACCCTCCTGCAGGACTAGCCCATTAACGAGACGCTGCCAGAAACCGCTTCCCAACATAATTCCTGGAAACCAGACCCGACTGCCGCATCCTGAGCCCTGACCCCGGGAAAGGCACTCTCGTCTCATCCAGGCCGATTAAAGGATTTGGCTGGCTGAGAGAAAGTACATCCCGCTCTCCCGGAGCCAGGCCCGGACACATCAACAAGTCAGAAGGCTCTCCGAGGAGCAGCAGCCTCCCCGCCCACTCAGAACGCTGCTGGGAACGGGCCGAAGGAGCTGAACCTCTTCGGTCTTGGGCAGAGACGACCGGGAGGGGACCCGACGCAGGGGTAGAAAGTCCTCTTTCACGAGCCAGGGAAGCGGCATTTTCCTCACGCAGACAGCAGGCGGACGCAAGTCAGGTTGACGGGATATTCGATCCGTAAAACCCAGGGGAGTTAACTGTACGAGGCGTGGGAGTCAGACCTCATTCCAGAATACCTTGTACAGCACATTTTAAAAATACACCCCCACCCTGGACTTCGGCTGGACAACAGCAACCAGGTGCATTCTCGGACTCATGGCAGCGTCCTTCACACGGGCTTCAAGAGGCCTAGTTGAAGAACTCGATGTTCAAAGACACTGGCAAAGGCAAACCTGAATGTCTTCAGAATCCACACGTACACCAAGGGGAAGCGCGCACTAAAGACTAGGACCACCAAGACTAGGAGGTACTTTACACAGAGGGTTGTAGGAGTATGGAACAAGTTACCTAGTCATGTTGAAGTCAACATCTTGGCTCACACAGACACACACAGACACACACAGACACACACAGACACACACAGACACACACAGACACACACAGACACACACAGACACACACAGACACACGAGCTCAGGCAGGGGTGCCCAGACCAGGCTCTGGAGCGCTGGGCCAGCCAGGCCTCAAAGAACTGACGCAACACAACCCATGAACCCAAACCTCCAGGTTGCACACGCAATCTCACAGTAGAAGCCGCAGATGTAAACATGCAAAATAAAAAAAGATACTTTCGACCTATATCTCCTCATTTCACTTTGCTCCCACAGAAGGCCATACAGCTGCACCAGGACCTCGGAGAATCACTCCCCACACAATCATACCTCGGCCCCTCACGCCTGGACACCAAACACTGACCCCTCCTCGCCACACAGCACCCCTGCTTCACTGAGCACTGGTACCGATTGAGAAGTGAGTACAGGGTCACCCCTGATCCCAGTCTACAATGGGGGGCTCCACCTGAAGCGCCCGCTCCAAGGCATGAGGGTCTTCATGCAGAGCGGGAGGGATCAGAGGAGGTACCAGCCAGTCAGCTCTCGGCGCCGGAGGTTTTGAAAACTCCCGGAGCTCTGCCGCCTTTCAGACATGGCGACGGCTTTCCGTGACGTTACATCCGGATTTAAACAAAAACAAGACACGCGCCCCGAGGCTGCTCAAGGCCTGCTAGACCACGGTCATCCTTCCACGGGCGTCAACCTGAACCTGGAGCCCGGCGATCACCTCCACGCGTCTCCGCTGCCGCCCTATGGAAGCCCTTACCGGCGACGTCAAGAAACGACCTTTCCGTTTGTTCGGGGGGGAACGCTCTCGGGTGAGCCACACTCCTTAAAAGCGCCTGAACAAATGTTGCCCGAGTCAGGTAACACGTCTGAACCCTCCCGCGTTCGCGAGTGAACTACGTGGGGGGGCCGAGTGAAGACCCGACCCCCATCCCCGCACAGCGGAAGTCTCGAGCGGCCTCCGGCCGGCGGGCATTCCTGCGCCGGCGTGTTGAAAGCTCGTCAGCGACCCCGGCAAAGGGCGACAGTTTATTGCAGTTGAACGGTGTTCAGGGGGAAGCGGGGGGGGGTCACTAAAGCGGTTTTGTTTCAGGGGGGCGGGACGGGGTAGCGGGCTTTGCAAGCGACCGCGGTGCTGTCGAACCGGGTCGGGAAAACCAGGATGTTCTACTTCAAAACCGCCTCTACTTGGGTCCCGGGGGTAGGATCGTCCTGGCTACAGGAGTGATACGAACAACACATTAAACACACACCCCCCTCCCACCCCGCACACGAGAGTCCGTGGATTCGCATCGCCTTCCAGTGTGAAAAAACGATGAAGCTCGCAAGCCGCGTCACGGGAATCTCCATATCGCAGCCGACCGCACAGCGTGCAACAGCGAAAGCACCTTCGGCACACTGTGGGGATAAACACGACCCCGGTCCAGTCGTGGGAGCTGCGCGCCTGTGAGGGCGGTGTTGAGCGCTCGGATAATTACGGGAGATTAGCCAGCTAAGCGAGTCCTCATCATCCTGGGTGCATCTAGACTGAAGCCCCTCACGGGCTGGTGTGCCTTTTCCACATTTGCAATGTAAATACACAAGCGTCAAAGCCCGGGCTGTGTTCAGAGATCGGGGGGGACTACACAGGCCCGGGACGCCCGTCCTGGTCTGCCTCAGCGCGCGCCGCTGTGACACCGGGTCCGAACCCCCGAACCTAGAACCACTGCGGCTCAGCACGCAGCACGGGAAGGGAGGCGCTCGGGGCGCCGCTGGCCGTCATCCCCACAGTAAACCGCGATGACATTCAGAAAACAAGAGATCAATCGCTCCAAGGGACAACCTGCAGAAATCCCGCAGGCTGACGAGCCACCCGAGACCAGGAGGACAGAGCGAGACCATCCCACACGCACTCGCGAGGGGGGCGTGTGCTCCAGGAGGGGACAAGCTCTTCTGCAGTCAGCCTCAGCCGAGACAGATGCTGCCGAACCCCAGTGACACGCCCCCGCCGTGCCCCGCAGGACGCGGCGCGCATCTCGTCCCCGCCGAGCCGGCGTCGGCACCGCTCGGCACCCCGGGCCAAACCCCCCGCCCACATCTTCACCGGAACACAAGCCCCAGCAAAACCCAGGCTGGGCTTTCACCCCGTCAAGAAAACGCCAAGATCAAGCCCGAACCTGATCGGAGCCCCCCTCAGTCTCCTTCAGGACCTCGCTCATGAAATACATACAGACGCCGTCGCTCTCTCTCTCCGGAACCGCCGCCCGGCTTCCGCCCACAGCACGCCACAGCCCAGCACGGCGGCACGCGCTCCTCACCCCTCGAACCCGCGCCCACGGGGGGGACACCCTCAACCCAGCTCGCCCGCTCAGAGCGGGAGCCGGGGGAGACCCTGGGGGCGGCTCAGTTCGTCACCCGAGGGCGCTCGCGGGGGGGGCGGCGGCTGCAAACTTACCGGACGTGTCCCAGAGGCTGAGCTCCACGCGCTGCTCCTCCAGCTCGAGGCAGGCGGTGTAGTTCTCGAACACCGTCGGCACGTAGGTCTGGGGAAGAGCAAAGACAGGCTCGTGGACATCCGTGGCACCGCCGCGCGCCGGACTCGGTTTAATCAAAGGCAACAGCATCACAGGTCTCAAAGCGGGAAAAGCCCACGACTGACAGCTGGTCTGAAAATGAGAACTTCTCCCCTCTCGGGCTGGTGGGCACCCCCCCCATGAGTAACACAGCTTGGCGCATTAGCGGTTCGTGTCGAAGACACTACGTACTCGGGAAGGCAGACGCACATGGCAGCTCAACTCGCTCAGCTCCTGCCCGAGGAAAGGGCGCCCAGCGTGAGCTCGGACAAGCCGAGCGGGCTGAAGGGAGATGTGACATTCCTACGCCAGGGAAGCGCTTCGCCACGCAGCGCGAGCCGAGAAGCGCCGTGTCATTCAAGCACTGCAGGCGCAGTCCCCCCACTACTGCGTGGCCGTGTCGGGGAAACCGCGACAAAACCCCTGAAACACGCGTGTGATCGGGGGGCGCGCGAGGGATGAGAATTTGAGGGGGGTGAGGGGTAATCGCTCAGGTCTTAATGAGCGTCCAGGTAATCAAGACGGCGCAGTAGCACAACAGGTTAATTAGCTCTGTTCGCAAACGCAATGCTAGGCAGACGAGAGAAAACCCGCAGCTTCGGAAAACGGCGAGTCAGCCAGGAAAGATTGAGCAAAACCACGCAGAAATAACCGGGGAGACACCAGCGGGAGAGAAACCGCTTACCTCGGGGTAGCAGTCCTTCGCAATGACTTGTAACATGGCCGTCTTTCCGCATTGCACGTCTCCGACCAGCACCAGCTTACAGCGCACGACCACGGGCTGCGCGTTTCTCCTCTCCTTCATCGCGAATCGACGGCAGAAGCCAAAATCCAACGCAAAGAAAAAAAAGCGCTACCCAGGCGTCACGTCTTTCAGGAAAGTAAAAACGGATATACTGTAGGAATCTCCTTGCAGGGACCGCTATTCCACACCGCCCACAAGCTCGCAGGACGCCTCTACAGTCCGCAGCGGTCGAAGTGAAGCGGCTGTGCAGCCGCAGCGCTTTAAATAGCCTCGCCAGCCAATCAGCGCGCAGCTCGTCCTGCCCAGGCTACCTTCCACGTTCCACTGCCCCCCGACATTCCACAGCTCCCCGCGCGCCCGGGAAGCAGCCGGCCGACTGCGAGCGGCGCGAGCGGCAGCTAGCCGGCGGTCCGCGAGGGTGTTGCAAAGCGGTCGGAACGGCCCGTTCCTCGCGAGATCGGTGCGGTCACACGCCAGGCTCTTACTCCGTTGCGCCATGCTGGTATTTCTCTAACGGGGAAATTACTGGTGTGTGTGTGTGTGTGTTGGCTGGGGGGGGGGTACAGACTGTCGAATTTCTGAGCCCAGGAAGGATGGGTTTGCCTCTCTCGCTTCACCGGAGTAAGACGAACACGCACGAGTTTCAGAAACGAGGACAATTTCGCTCGACGTTGCAGAACCGGACTCGTGTTTGTGAAACAATTTCCGTGCGATTAGCGATCTATTAGCCGGCTAGTCTAAACACGAAGCCGGTGGACTGGCCTTTGACATGCAAATGCGATCGCCTGCTTATCTCGGCCCTCGGCAGGCTGGCGTGTCTGGAGAGGAGAGGAGCGCTGGTCGACACGGTCAGTTCCCAAACCTCTTCGGCAGCGGACGTTTCAGTTAGTAATAATAATGAGCCGCCCCGCTAATCGCAACGCACCCGGAGGAAACCCACGCCAACACGGGGAGAACATGCAGACTCCCCACAGACAGCACCCCTGGGTCCAGAACTGAACCCAGGAGCCCCAGCGCTGGGAGTCAGCAATGCTGACCGCTGGCCCACAGTGCCCACTCACCATCAGCAGCTCCATGGCTAAAAACACTTACAGGCTTCAGTCTGGTTTGTTGTGGTGAAGGTGGAAAGGAAGCAGACAAGAGGAGGCTACCGGGCTGAGTCCAGTCCGTTTGGGCGTGAGTAATAATTGATCGGAGGACCTCATTCAGCTGGCTCATGGAAGAAGCCAGAGTTTCAGGCTTCAGCAACATGCCTTTACACAAAACTGTGTGTGCAGAAGGGCCCCCTGTCCTGGGCTTTAAGTGCAAGTCCACTTCAGTTCCTTTCAGTCTGAAGAAGTCCGCAGGGTTGCCTTAGGGATCTGAGTATAGTGTTTCTGAGTACAGCCAAGCACTGCACTGCATGGACTTCAAGGGTCTGAGAATGAGCAGTACCTCTGCTGTGTTCCATAGTGAGATGACGTGTCTCGGTCGTGTGTCGGGTTCCTTCTAGAGTCTTCTCTGGATTGCGTCCAGAGGCGATGCCTCACCTGAGAGCAGCCTCCTGGGATCAATAACCCAGCGAGCCTGATAACCCGGTGATTTCAAGCACTGGGAAGCTTGGCTCTGGGCTTTGAAAGTACAGAAAGTTTCAGACCGCGTGGTTCTCTCGAAACCGTTCACCACGGACGGTGCTGCTGTTATTATTTACTGTATTTGTTTTTCATTATTTATTCAAAGTGTGTTGCAGTGCTGTGGGGTGTCTTCATGAGAAAAGAGTCGAACAGAAGACACGTTCTGCAGTTATTTCAGTTAGCAGAGGAGAACAGGTATTGGACTACAGTCTCTACAGCTTTACAATGCAGTCACAAGGGTGAGTACAAGAGCTCAGTGTATAGAGGGGTGTGGAGAGCAAGAGCCGAACCCAGCGAACACAGAGCATGTCAGGACTACACTCTGGACAGGGGGACTGTCTATTGCAGGACACACACACTCCAGCATACACCAGCAGACACACACACACGCTCCAGCATACACAAGCAGACACACACACACGAGCACACACTTATATACATGCATGTATGCACACACATTCATATGCATGCATACACACTCAAGCATACATCAGCAGACACACACACACGCTCCAGCGTTCACAAGCAGACACACACACGCTCAAGCATACATCAGCAGACACACACACACTCTCCAGCAAACACAGACATGCCCGCACACACACACATACGCACACATGCACACACATACATGCATGTATACACACACACTCAAGCATACACAAAACGACACACACTCAAGCATACACAGACACATGCACACACACACGGACACACACTTATATACATGCATGTATGCTCACACACACTAGGGCAGTATAAGGGGAATATGCAAACTCCACACGGAAGGATCCACAAACTGGAACTGAACCCAGTAAACAAAAGCTTCCAGGCAACAGCATGAACCGCAAGGCCAACAGGAGGCCTGCCCTTGCACCACTTCAGACCAAAGGGTTTGCAGGAGGTGTAAAGAAGTTTTTTTGTTCTCATTAGGGTTCCCATGTGCCCAGGAGCCTCGTCTCCTCTGAATTTCATCCCCGTTAACCTGATCGCTTGCCTTTGTCTTGGGTCTCCTGTCTCAGTACCGATGGATCCGGCTTCGGGAGGAGCTTTTAATTTGCTCTCCTGGCTCCGTGCTGATGAGTTAAAGGAGGTGAAAATCCAATCATTGTGTGTTTCTCTGTGATTTCATTGTGGACTCCAGACAATAGGGAGATAACGCTCTCTCGATCAGCAGGGCTATTGATTAACAGTGGTCTGAGGGCGCATCGAGGTATTGATCAAAGACCATGTGGACCCTCTTCTTGTCTGTCTGCTCCACTGGCCTTGGATACACAGATAAACAACTGCAGAGCTACTGGTTTTTCTCCAGTAGCTGCTTTCTTTACCAGTTAGATCAATAATCAATATTAATTACTTTGTCTCCAACCCTCTCTTCCACAACAACAAAATGTCAGGAGACAGAGCCCGAGAGATGTTTATCTCGGTAAATTCCAAGTTAAAAATCATTGGATTGGCTAGGGATTTTGGAAATGAAGCCAATTCCCAATTTCTCTCCATGAAGAGTTATTTCAACTGATCGGGGTCGGTGTTGGAGGATGAACCAAGACGAGGCTCCTCTCCTTTTTCCCATGGAAGATAAGATTAGATCACTTTATTGGCCATATATAATTTCTTGCATTAGGAATTCATCTTTTCTCAGACCCCAGCTTGCTCTCCATGAGACACACAGACAGGGAGAGAAGCTGGGGGTCAGAGCGCAGAGCCAGCCATTTATACAGCACCCCTGGAGCAGTTGGGGTTAAGGGCCTTGCTCAGGAGGATGGTGTAGGATTCCTCTGCCAGCCATGGGATTTGAACCCGCAACCTTCCAGCCACAGGGGCGGATCCTTAGCCACAGCACCACCGCTCCGCCCTGGTTATACTACTGGGTGGGCAATGGAGTATAACCACAAGTCCCTGGGAGGAGACGGAGGACACCAGAGCACCTGGTGAAAACCTATGGAACACGCAAACTCCAATCACAATGCTCCCAGCACGGAACTGAGCCCAGCGCCCGTGAGCTCCGGGCCACTGTGCCCATTTACTCCATGGCTGCCGGCTTCTGGTCCTTGACTGGCTAAATGTGATACTGGAAGGGTGCAGCGTGGCTCTATCCGTCCTCCACACTGCGTGTCCAGAAACCTTTCTGCCGTTCTGCCTTCGGGCGAAGGAGCCACAGCGTGCCAGTTGTCTTCTGCGACAGTTTTCAACATCATTTCTTTCTTCCACAACCCCCCCACCGGGGCTCCCTCCACCTGGACGTGCTGAGGCCGCCTGGGGAGAGCTGGGGACACATGTTCAGGTGTCTTCCGCGCGCCTGTTCAGACTGCCCGCAGGGAGTGAGCCAGCCTGACAGACGGCTTCTGTGTGCCGTTTGTATGTTTAATTAGTTGCTCCCCTCTCTGCAGTCAACACCCCGAGGGGGGTGGGTGGGGGGGTTCAAGGTTATCTCTGAATGCAAAGCAGCTCCAGCCAGGCTGGGACGCCGAAAGGCAAGAAACAATCACCCCCCCTGCCCCTTCCCACCCCCCCTCTCCAGTGCTGCTTGAGCAGGTCAGAGAGTACCCCCCCCACCCCCAGTGGGCAAGTGATGGACTTTGCCAGATAAGCCGCATGCTAATTGGCTGTCAGTTGTGCAGAATCAGAAAAGAAACAAACAGCGCTAAATGAGCAACCCTGCTGCTGGAGAGGCACAGCCCCCGCAGGGTCTGATTCGATTAGCCCTGCTCTTAAATTATTAGTGTAGGAGCTCCAAGCAGGGGGTTGCAGGTTTAATTCCTCACTCCAGGCACTGCTGCTGTGATCTGTGAGTGAAGGGCAGCCCCTTGCCCTGCGTGGCAGGGACGTGCGGGGTCCATTCACAAGCAAGGAGTACTCCAAATGGGACGAACACCCCATAGAAGACCCAGACACAGGGGGACACAGGCAGACCTGGCTGCCTAGAGAGGACAGGCTGTGCTCCCACCTACAGCAGTGCGAAACAGAGACGAGAGGTGCACTTTCCGCTGCACTGTGAGAAATACTCTGGGATGAGACAATCTTCCCTAAAAAAATGTTTTCTTATAAAATATACTTTATTCCGAAAAAAAAACATCTCAAAAGTAAACATCTCACTCATTAACACTCCATGTAGTAAAAACAACGGCGGAACGGCGGTGATTGTCCGTTATCAATCCTTGCAAGTGTGGGCGGATTTGCGCTATTATGAGAGTCCCTCCAAACTTGCTGTCAACCATTAATCCCTGTACAGGGTCCATAGTCCTTTCCAGCGCTCCTTTGCCGTGGGGAAACCCCAATCTTCCCTAAAATAACAAATCTTATCCCAGAATTCCCACTCCTGCCAGAATCAGAACTGTTTCTAATCCTACTGGGGGAGGAAACTCAACAGAGCCGCAGCCCAGGGTGTGATCTCCTGTCACAGCCTGAGGGACAGACCCTTTCTCCCAGAGATGTTCTATGTATGTAAATGCCCAGTAACATGTCTGTATTGTTAAAGGCTGTGAGTGCTGTGCTGATTGTAGAGGCTTTGGCAAGACTCGTCGGCCATGCCAGTAACACTGTTTGAATTTGAAATAGCTGTGCGCTGATTGCACCAGTCCACTCAGGTGTGTAAATGAGTCCTGGCATGGCAGGGGAGGAGTGGGGGGGCAGTAGCCGTACTACAGCATTACAATCCGTCTGAAGGGGGGGAGTCAAGCACCCCCAGCCCGCTGAATTCTCTGACAACCGTCGCCAGATCGGCGGCAGGACTACCCGTAAATCACAGCAGCCCCACTCTGCATTCCAGATG